TCGTAGTATTCCCAAACCTGTTTGAACCTGAGGGTTCCACTTCATCGCCTGCCGAAATATAACATTCGGCGCTTTTCAGACTGTATGTCCAATCCATTTCCAAAATTTCACGTTTGTTATTCGTATGGGCTATTGCATATTGTAGATAATTCACAGGCATTTGGACTTAGCATTATATGCAGTTTTTCCATGTCGTATTTTAGTACGCGCCAAATTTCACTCTCATACAGCAGATTCGACCGAACGAAAATATTCTCACAACCATGAGAACCATGAAATATCCTAATATTATGAAAAATCATTTCTTTCAATGAAAATAACTTTTAATTCTTAATTCAAATTCATTTTTCGAATACAAAACCGAAAAGTTATCCAATATGAATTTAATTCAAGTAATTCTTTTGTATTTTTCATTAATATTTTTTTACAGTGTACCAATTCATATCATTACATTTAAATATATTTTTATAATCTAATTCATGTGGATTACATTATATATGAAGCCACAATATAAATTACTTTGACTATTCATATACGCCTTAATCCTTACATATTTTACACAAAAAAAAAAGGAACACAATGAAAAATTATTACTGTATGCTATTCCTCTTTTCATACCCATATTTTCAATACATACATACAGTTAAATAAAAATAACATGCACACGAGCAATAAAAATAAAGTGAGAATGAAAAAGGAAGGTGAAAACGGAAGTAAAAGAAAAATAAAAAAAAAAATAAAAATAATAAAAATCCTACGTACAACATTTTCATTAGCATAAAAAATCATTTTGAAAAAAAAACAAAAATAAAAACTGTTAAAAATTTAGTTAAGAATTCATAACTAACGGTATATTCTAACCTTGTAATTTTCCAATTAGTTAAGGTTTTCTTCACTCTTTTTTCTTTTAATTTTCTTTTTTTTTTGGTTTTTACTTTTTTTTGGGCTTGTAACGACGAAAAATATATTGATGAACTTTTTTATTTCACATTGGAGGGCATAAATTAATGACCGAAAATAATGATAATTGTTTTAAGTAACGAAATTTTTAAATTATTTTTAAAAATTATTAAGTAAAACGAAAATTTAATAAAATTTTGAATTAAAATTTGTAATTGGATTGCTTAAAATATTTAGAATAATATCAAGGAGTTTAAATTTAAGGCAAAACTACGTGGCTACAAAATTTATTTAAGAATTTTAATTAATTCTAATTCATGGAAAAATTGCATACTTTAGGGGATATTTTATAAAACATATTTTTATATGGAAAATAAAATACTGTAATTTTTACAATAAATTGTTCAATATTCGCCCATATATATTCTGTGTGACTGTCCTGCTCCGGTTGTCAAGAGGTGAAGATTGTTCGGTCGGAGATGTTTCAGTGTTTTAGCGGTTCACATCCAACTCCATAAAGAATATCTCCGGGTATTTCTGTCTAAATGGGATATGGGAAGACTAAAATAAGCCATTTTTTACTCAGTTGGTCGAAGGGGAGGAATTCTTCTGCCCATATCTCTCTTCAACAATCTAAAAGGTATAATAATAAATCGACTTCGGGAATAATTGAAAAATTATTTCAAAATGAGCTTGCTCTATAACAAAATGTAAATAATGCACAAATTTACGAATAGGTTCACTGTTACAGTAAATGATTCACTTACTTTTGGTCAAAATTTATAAAATCTTAAAATGTTTTAATCAAAATATTGACATTACATGAATAAATACTCTTTCTTTTTTCCTTTCCATTCTCACTTTTCAATAATAAGAAGATTGAACCTTAAATATATATTTACGGATTGAAATGCTCTCACTCGAAAATTTCGTTTTACGAAAATATAATAGATTCACTTAATTTATATAAAATTCACTAATTTATTCTCTCATTCACCTTATTTTTCTCAATTTAATTTAATTGCAATGTGTTATCAGTGACGGAAATACGTTATTTGCTCTCACTTGATAATTATTTATTCTCACTCGGCACACGGTAAGAAGTGAGTAATACAGAATAATATACTAAATACATTATAGTTCGCAAAATTTGTAGGAAGAAAAATTAAGTAGTGATGCAATGTTTTATTACTCACTTTTACCTCACATTTTCCAAATAATTAAATTACTTTTTGAAAATTTTAAATTATAGGTCTAATATATCACGCCATTTAACTAGATCTACTAAAAATAAATGCTTTTTTAAAGATTTATTAATTTTATGTAATAAATTCAAAATTATATTTATTTTATATTTAATATAATTAAATTAATTATATTAATTTGTCAGAATGCAATATTTTATGTTCAAATAAATTGCGAAAATTTATTTGATGACTTCTCTTCTATATTATTAAAAATATGTACACCACATATGCCACAGATTGTTATATAGAAATAATGGTGTTCATTTATTTTATTGATAAACTAAATTATACATACATATATATAATTATTTTAACGCATATTCTGTACATAAAATATATTGCAATTAATTAATTATAAAAGAAAAACCACTTTTTATTGAAAACATTTTTGTACACTTATACTCATGTATAGAAAAATTATTTAGCAGACAAAAAATTAATGTAAAAGCTTTACAAAAAAAAAAAACCCATTCAATATTAGTGTAAAAGATAGAAGAAAGTCAAGTTCAAGTTTATATGGAACATAATTTTTGCAATAGGCTTGTGTACGTACATTGTTTTTTTTTAGTACCATACTTTAAGTCTCCATTTCTTATGCATATTTTATTAGATATAGCATTTATACAGAAAAAACGACGGAAAAACTTTTAATATTCAACTCAAATTTTAATTTTTTTTTCTTCTAGTTTATTAAAATTTAATACTATTAAAACGTTAACATTATATAAATTTAATCTCTTCTTGCAGAATGGCTCCAAATTATGCTCTTTGTTTTTTCTTTTTGTAATTCAAATTCGAAATAAGTTTGAAGAAATTTTCACAACAGAGCGCTACTTTGAATTCATAATTTTCACTATACTACGCCAGATGTCGCTTTGAATGAAATTTATACTTAAATTTATACGAACTGTTAAGATTAAATCGCCAAAAAAAATTTATTTTGCGAAATGTTTTACTTCAATTATTAAAATTTCAAATTCAGATATTTTGAAATTTTTGAGTGAATATAATGGTAGATTTCTAAAGTGATGAAATATGGGAGAAAAGGAAAATTTTCTCTCTTTATTGCAGTAGTCATATAGTTGCCATTTTCTCTTTTATCCGTAATATTGAGGGTAAGCATAATTTTGAAATATTACTGAGAAATTGCACGAAAATCAAATGCTTCATAACAATTGACAGGTCCAAATGAAAAATTGTGACATTCACATCGGGTGTAAATGGCTATGTTAGGAAAGCAAAAGGAAACCACAAGTGGAAATCTTATCGTATAATACTGAAAATTTCAACAGCATAAATGCGCTTTATAACTTTCTCTGACTACCTTCGCTTTCTTCACTAACCCTGAGAGGAATTTCTTAGAATATATAATGTTAATAAATAAATTTAGATAAAGACAAATGTTTGTAGCCCGTTTGCCGCAGGGAGTCTGCACTTTGCAAAGGTAAGGTTTCATTTTATATAAATTGATTTTATATAAGCTGTTTTTACAGGATGTTCATCATCAATTTCTATAACAAAAGAATTTTTCTGTTGATTGGTGCAAGAACGGGTTAAATAGTTGTCTCGTAAATGACCAGTCTTTCATTTATTATAAATTTTTTTTTTGATTTAATAGAAGAAGTAATTTTATACAATTGAAAATATTTTAAAAACAAAACCTGTAGTTTACTTCTTTTTCTGTAATTCAATTGCAACCTTTCCTATATAACATTAAACCTGTATACTTGTTATAACTTACATGGTCAAATTACTTTTTATCTTCTTATTTAATAATAATATTATTTTACCAATTAAAACTGAGAAAAAATTTCTATTATTGAATTACAATTGAAAAAACAAAAATTATTGATGAGGAAATTTAATCGATGCAATGTGCAATGGAAATTTTAAAGAGTTGAAGTGGATTTTAAATGTAAAGGTGATACCAATATCACTATATTGAATTTTCCAATTATAAAATTTAATACAAGAAAAAAAATTTATTGATTTTGATCTTGAATTTTATATATTTTATAGAGAAAATGTATAAAATGATAGAAAAAATTGGGGGAATAAACACTTAAATTGCCTATTGTACTACAGCTCTTGATATACACGCAATAAATGTAAAAAGCGTGATAATAAAAGCTTATAAATTCTAAGACACAAAAAAAAATCTTTAAAATTTTCCAATTTTATTCAATTTATCTCAGTAACTTTCGTTTTCACTCACAAAATCTTAGCATAATTCAGAATATGCCATTGTAATATTGAAAATTTAAAATAGTATTAAATTTTAACAATAAATAAGAGAATAGTATTCGCTCTGAGAGCAGTATTAATAAAATTCACCACACCATAAAAATTATATGTATAAAGTTAATTTATAAATGAAGATAAGGTAGCTGAATTTTATTGTTAGAAATTTTATTGTGTATATGTGTGTGGAAATCCGATAATGAGTTTTAAACTGAGCTTTAGTTAGGAAAGAAAATTATTCATTAAATGTTAAGTACCTGTGGTGGAAACATTTCATTTAATATGGTTTTCGAATTTATCGAAATATTATGAGTCATATTATTGCAATAACAACATTGTCTAGATCACATATACTCAACATATACTCAACAACAACAATAAATAAAAAAAATGCAATGTGGTGAAAATTTCAAATTTATTTTCGTTTTCTTCTCTTGATTTTTCGTTTATTTCTTTTCGTGATTTTTTCTCTTGATTTTGTTTCTTTCTTAAATTTTCCTTCCTTTAATTTTAATTTTTAAATTTCTTTTTTTTTTTTTTTTGGATTAGTTATTTTAGATGCGCGCACGTTTACTAAAATCATAATTTAGTTTTCTTCCGGCGTTTAAAGATTTCAGTTGTTAAAGCGCTATCTAACGGAATAATATTGAATATAAAAAAGTTTGAACGAGATTCGTTTTCGTTTTCTTTTTTTGTTTTTGTGAATTTTAAGTAAATTTTGTATTTTTCCTTGTAACGCAGTTTTGCTTTACACAAGTCTCATATTCAATTTTAGCAGTTTGTTCACAAAATAATTACGAAGTTAAAAGAGGGCGTTTGTTATCAATGCATAGTTGCCATTAAAACAAACAAGAAATGAAAATAAATAAATACAGGAAATAAAAGGAAGCAATATTTATTAAAAATAAATAAAAAAATTATTTTTGAAAAAAATAAATAAATCTATAATTATACTCATTCATAATTACATTTCTGCTACATTAATTAAAAAATAATTAAGAATATAATAAAATCAGTAAATAATTTAAAATTTTTAATAACCGAAAAATTGGCAATTCTTTTTGAATTAACAAAAATTTTAATTTAATTTTAATTAATCATTCAAAATATGGCTGGATTATATAAATTTTGGAGTACATTCTTTAATGAATGAAAGAAATGAAAATTTTTGTATGATTTTTATTTAATATAAATGAAATAAAAATACATACAAAAATTTTTAATTTTCATTTTTTTTCAAAAAGGAAAACTGTTAACAGGTGAGTTTGTAACTAGAAAAAAAAACAAGAAGAAATAGCAAAAAACTAATTTTTTCAAATGTGCAAAAATACACCCACGGGGTTGTAAATTTACACCAAGAACAAGAATGTTAGAATTAAAATTCAAATATCTGATCAAATACGGTAATCCTGTTATATGTAATATTTGATTTAAATAATTTACGAATTAAGGTACAAGCCTTTAGAAAGAAATTGTTGAAAATAATTTCCGTTATTATTGTATTATTGTCATATTTTGTGTAAAAATTTCAATACATTGCAGTTAGAATCTGTTTTGGATTTGAACTTTTTCCGCTGTTAAAAATTATTGAAAAATTTGATTTTAATTCAAATTTTTGAAAAAAAAAAACTAATTTTAAATTTAATATTTTTTACCTATAACAATAAAAATTTCTTGCCGCAAAAGATATAAGAAGAAAATTTTAATAGTTTTAAAGACAATTGTAATTAATTGCTTTCGACATCAAGAACAGTATATTGAACAAAAAAATTTCAAAAAAAAAACTTAAATGTACAAGCCTGCAAAATTTCATTGACACATATCAAAAGGCAATCACATCAAAAGACAATCCACTGAAGTGAAAATACAACCCTGGCCTAATATTTGATTAATAAGTTAAATTTACACGAAGGGCAAAAAATATTTAAGAAGGCCAATAATATGCCCTATTTTGATCAGATATACCAAATATTTATTTAAAATAGATCACTGGAATCAACATAATCACCAATATTTTAATTTTAAATATTTTAATCACAACACTTAAATTTTAAACTATACAAATAAACCACTTACAATATAGTCGATGCCATGTTTATTTAAAATTAAAAAAAAAATATAAAATTACATGATTATCTACTTTAGCGCCAAAAAATTTTTTTGCTTTTAAATAATTTTTAAAGTGTACGAGTATATTGGATACAATGTGTTCAATTAAATGTAGTACAATGATTTTCAATTAAGGAAGCAAAAAATACCCCGAAAACAACTAAGAAAAACTATGAAATTAAATAAAGAAATTTTTCTTATACCCAAAATGTATATACATACATATATATACATAAATTTTTTTTAAACCAACATAATTGAACCATAAAGGTATTTAAAAAAAAAGTGAGAAAAACCATCAAATTTTTTTCAAATCACTTTTTTTTTTTTAAATATGTGCGCCGATTATGTAAAAGTACAGAAAACTTACAACTTTTTTCTTTATTATTATTATTGTTATTTTTGGGTATAATAGTATATAATCGATCACCATAATATTTTTAGTGATTCCCCACAAATATTTATTTATTTTGTAATAAAGATCACTTAATTATCACTTAGTGTTACGAAAATATTTGCAAAATTTTAATAATAAATTTTTTTTTTACTATTTTGCTCCCTTTTGCTCTTATATCACTAACATTTAACACATTTTTTATCACATGCTTATTAAGTTAAATAAATGTGAAAGACAAAAGCCTCTATTGACTAAATCAGTTTTTTTTAAAAATCACGTTCAATAACAGTTTCATTATTATTGTTGTATTTCAATGTCCTCTCTTTCTCTGTAACTGTAATAAATATGGCAATAAAAGGTAAAAAAAACTGTAGTAGAAAATTAAGATGATTTTGAACTTCTTCAACAGGTCTATTCCAGTATGCCCAAATATGAAGTTTTGCTAGCGTTTTTTTTTCTTCTTCTTAATTTTTGGTTCATTACGAACAGAAAAAAAACAACAAAACCACAAGGGAAAGAAAGCTAAAAAAAAAATTTTTTTTTTCATTTTATCATTATAAAAATTTTTTTTTTGTACACGAGTGTGTAAATTCACCTATTTCTTTTTTTCTATTTAATAAGTGGTTTCTTGTTTATTTTTTTAGCAACCATAAATAAATGTTTATTAATTATAAATATGGTTAGGTTTTTGTTTTTGCTATTGATCGACCGATGTGACGTGACATGGGAACAGGTTTAAAATATTCTTTAATTTTGTTTTTTTAAATTCCATAAATTATTGAGAAATTGTTTTCACATTAAAAAGCCTTGAAAATTCTGGAATTTTACAAATTTCGAAATAAGTAATTAAATGATGATCTTGTAATATTTAATACTAGAAGTCGCTCAACTAAAACTTAACTCTCTCATTTAGAATATTCTCTAAATGGTTATATCTTCTCAATGGTTATAGCGAATCAAATACACTTGTATAATTATACTGAAGATGGTTTATTAAAAATTGATACAAAAAAGTGTTCTTTGTCACCTTACAGCAAGTTTCCCAGTATTTGATAAAACTAGAAAACTAAATTGCTATGCATTAATTGCGACAATCATTTATTACATTTGTCGCTTCCTGGAATGGTAATTTTTTACTCTTAAAACTAAGCAACAATTAAAATATTTTTGAAATTTTATGCACCCTTTAATTTTTATAATTATATAATGATTTTACGATACCATACTAATTTTAAAATCGAAATATTTTTAAACATGAGAAAAATTAGTATATGTTCGTATCATAATACTGACCAACCTTTATTTAACAATTTATCCTATACTATACAATTAACGAGATATTAAATCATGTTACAATTATACAATAAGGATATTTCAGGTTTGGAATATTTTGAAAATAACTTTCTCTTATCATCAGATGACATAATTTTTTATTACGTATTTTATTCGAATTTATTTCATGGATTTCATGAATTTATCCACTCTGTTCCATATGCTCCAACATCAAAATTTTTTTCAACCCTAACAATTTAATTAAAATCAAAAAAGCATAAAAAATTGAAAACACAAAAAAAATTTTTTTTTTCATTTTTATTGAAATTAAATAACAATAGGCAAGATATTTAATCTCGGTCATTCTTATTTAATAATAATTAAAAGAAATAGTAATCTCTAGAGTCACATAATTTTAGTAGATCTTGTCATGAACGCCATCTCTGCTTCTCTAATAGTACAAAATGTGAGAAAAAATTTACCTTTTACTCTCAATTTTTCTATTCATCCTATTTGTACTCTCCCTTTTTTTCTTTTTTCGGAATTTTTAATCCCTATAAATTAATATTGCCGTTTTTAAATGAATCGCGCTATCAGGCTTTACAATTTATTAAAAAAAATTTTTAACATGAAGATGAAATTTTTTTTCGCGCAGGTTTTCTTTTGCTGCTCTTTGTGGTTTGCAATTTTCATTACTCTTTTCACATTATTTTGTTGTATTGTTGTTGTACTTGACAACAAAACAACGTCAACCTTTGTTTTCTTCCTAAGTGGTCATATTATTGAAAACAAGAAAATAAGAAAAACCAAAAACAAATTTTTTTTTTTTTTATTTCATAACACTAGAGAGCACCAAAAATTTCAAGTTGGTGATTTTGTAATCGATTTATAATAAAAAGAGAAAAACAAGAAATAAAATGACAGAAAACTGGAAAAATTGAACGCAAAAAAATTTTTTTTTTTTAGTAGCGTTACAAGTTTTGCACACATTTCACTTTTATCTTTCCTCTTTTTTTTTTCACTTTGTTTACATATTGACATTTCTCCCTCTTGTTTTTTTTTTATATTACGTTACGTTTAAGTAGCATGCCACACCATACCTTCAATTTTTATAACCATTTAACATTTCTTTTTTTCATAGTGTTGGTGTTGTAAGTTGTTGTTGCTATCATTGTTGACTTGTTCAAAAAAAAAAATTTTAAATTGCAATTTTTATTTTTTTGTTTTGCTTTTGTTGCAATGTGCAATGTACAATGACAAGCTAAACAAGTTTTGAAATGCAAAAAAAACAAAAAAAAACAAAAATAAAATGAAAAGTTTTGAAATTTCGGTAATTGGATTTTGTTGCTTTCTAGCCTAGCAAGTCTATATATTAACGGTATATTTAAAGGAATACCTTGCAGCATACTAGCTATTTGAATAAATTTTGTGATGGAATAACAAAAAGTTGGATTTGCATATTTTGCACTAAAATCGCATACAATAATATACGAAAATATACAGGTATGTAGGTATGTATGTAAGTTAAAGTGCGTGTACACTTTTAATTTTAATATTTCCGTTTATGTCGGAGATGTCGGAAGATTGTAAATTATATCTAGCAGAATTTTCTGGAAATTGAGAAATTTTTAATTTATATTAAAGTTGGTAGTATAGTCGAATAATCTAAAACTATACACCAGTTTTGAAACAAAGAATTTTTCATATAATTAATTGAGTTTTTCATTCAATAAATTGGAAATTTAATCTTAAGCATGCAATTGCGTTAATTTAAACAAAATTAAAGGAAAATCACAATTATTTACAAATAAATCTGTTTATTTAATTGTAAATTTTTATTGAAGAAATTATAAATAGTAAAAAGAGGCTTGTGAGTCGATTTTTTTAAAGTTTCTGAAAGCTAGTTATGATTTGCTAGTGTGCAAAATTACCTATGATCTCAGTGGCTTTCATAATAAGGAATTCAAAATTTGCAACAATTCACACAAAATCATTTTAATTAATTCAATCCCTATATTTTAGTTAAAAAATGCATTTTGAAATATTCATCATTTTGTACATCATATGAACTACTATTGAGGCAACCAACAGTGTTAAGAGTAAAAAATTTAAAATATTCGTATAAAAATGCCATCTCTCTCTCTCCCTCTCTATTTATCTGGTTCCTACAATATTACCACAAGTGGAAATTCCTTGTTAGAGATTTTCAAAATTTTGTTAAAATCACGCACTAATTTTTTACATTAGGAATGTTATGGTATAAAGATGAAAGATTTTAAAAATTCAAAAAAAATAAATGGTCTATATCTCTTACAATTTTATAATAAGGAAACGCATTTGAATACTTTAAAAATTTTTGATATTATTCTTTTTCAAATCAAGAATACCACAGTCATAATATTGAAGATTTTCCAAGCACCCATCTAAAATCTAATCTTTTTTCTAAGAATCTTACATGAATTTTTTAAAAAAATTAATTCC